ATGTAGAGAAAGTACAAACAGAGAGAGCCCCACCCCCAAAAGAGAGAGGAAAACAAACCTGCAGTTGGACAGAAGACGGACAACATTTGGATCAAATAAACAGGCCAAAGAAATGTATATTTTCACTTCACTCTTTACTGTTATTTAAAGTGACTAGAGCCCACAGCAGGGCAGGGGTCTCAGAACTTTAGAAAATATAGCAGAGAGCTATATTTTCTGGACCTAAATCAGCTCGAGCAGGGACTGGAGTTTAGCATTAGCATTAGCATTAGCATTAGCATTAGCGATACACTCCGTAAGTGTCTCCTCCGCTGCATCTTTCCTAATGCAGCTCTGTATGATTGCATCGTCCCTGTCAAATAAATAAATTAATAAGATAAATGGCAGAGAGCTACATATTCTGGGTAGAAATAGCAGAGAGAGCTACCCCCTTTAAACGGCCTCTCACTGTGACCAGATTATATCCATGTATTTGTAAAAGTTAAATATGCACCGTAGTCGTTGGCATGGGGGACATTACATTAATATCTAGGAGGTTTTAACAGTAGCTAACATGAAATAGTAGCTAGCGGTTAGGCAGCTAAAGGTTGCTAACAGTAGCTCCTGAGATAGAGGTGGGAAACCCCTGATCTACTACTACTAAAGTTGTGTGTGTGTGTGTGTGTGTGTGTGTGTGTGTGTGTGTGTGTGTGTGTGTGTGTGTGTGTGTGTGTGTGTGTGTGTGTGTGTGTGTGTGTGTGTGTGTGTGACAAACACAGCTGAGAGCAAACAGAGCCTGCACTAACTCAGATATGGGGTTTTTTCCATTTTCTTTTCTCTTTTAACTCATCAAAGACAACATAAAACACAGCAGGACCGACGGACTCACTTTGACACCAGAAAATTGGCAAAAACTGAGGCAGTGATGAAGGAAAGGAAATGTCAGCCTGAAGAGACTGAAGCTGACGGAAACCACTGCGTTTATAGTTTCAGACAGACTCAGGGCTAAAGGATTTCAGGAGATTTGAGACGATTCAACTCAAGAAGAAATATTATGCATCGTTTTTAACCTTTTAAACGATAATGAGACAGTTTACTTTGTCTTTCCATGTTTTAGTGAAATAATGTCTTATGTTTAACTAAAAGGTCAGTGCATGCTTTCTGCCTGTAATGCCCTCGGCTGCCACCAGAGGGAGGGGTCGCATTGTTCTGCCTTTGTTCCAAAACACCTGCATGGATTTACTGATGTGACGTCATAGTGGTGTGATGACATCATACTACTACAGGACTGACACAGGAGCGTTTAGTGCTTTTCACTTCATTACAGTTAGCCATGCTTCTAAGTTAATTTTATAAATGCGGTTAGCCATGCTTCTAAGATAATTAACTCAGTGTTAATAAACTCATGTAAGATGGATAAGAGCTAAAGATGCATCATATTTCTCCTTTAAGTCTGAACCAAGTATTTTTAACAATATATATACATAAATCTATTATATACATTATACTTCTAACATGTGTAGTTGACAGTGTAGTTGCCATAGAAACGTGTTACCGGTGCTGAGTCATAAAAAGACGAGCTGTTTCAAAGTCATCGACAAGAAGCGAGTCGTTCTATAGAAGCAAAAGAACCAGAGTCAGAACCTGCTCCAGTCCTGGTCTCAGGCCTCTGTCCTGGTCTCAGGTCTCTGTCCTGGTCTCAGGTCTCTGTCCTGGTCTCAGGTCTCTGTCCTGGTCTCAGGGCTCTGTCCTGGTCTCAGGTCTCTGTCCTGGTCTCAGGTCTCTGTCCTGGTCTCAGGGCTCTGTCCTGGTCTCAGGTCTCTGTCCTGGTCTCAGGTCTCTGTCCTGGTCTCAGGTCTCTGTCCTGGTCTCAGGGCTCTGTCCTGGTCTCAGGGCTCTGTCCTGGTCTCAGGTCTCTGTCCTGGTCTCAGGTCTCTGTCCTGGTCTCAGGGCTCTGTCCTGGTCTCAGGGCTCTGTCCTGGTCTCAGGGCTCTGTCCTGGTCTCAGGTCTCTGTCCTGGTCTCAGGTCTCTGTCCTGGTCTCAGGTCTCTGTCCTGTAGTCTATAACACACAGAGAGGGTGATACTGATGTAATCGATGCACCTGAAGACATCATCTGCCAAACACATTTTTATCCTATTTTTCATCAACTACAATAATTAGTAACTAATTAGTGACTAATTAGTTAGTAATTACCACCGGAGGCTCACAGTCTTTCCACACCTGAGTTTCAAGAGTTTCGAGAGAATAAATCTGAATCAAATCAAAGCAGGACCAAGACATTAATGACAAACATGAACAGACTTGGACAGAGCGGGGACGACAGTTTGAGAACCACGCAGGTGTGAGTTAGTGTCTAGTGCTGCAGAAGATCACAGTAATGGAAATGTAAACATCTAATCTAATCTAATCTAATCTAATCTAATCTCCGACTCGCTCTGATGTCACAGACTGTTCCCGAGGCTCAGGCTAAAGCTAATCATAAACACAGGGTCTTTTTAAGGTAATAGAATATTTCATG